TCAGTGATGTTGAACGTGTTTCCATGTATTTATTTGCCATTTGTGTGTCTTCATCTGAGAAGTGTACAGTCATCTCAGATGCCCATTTTTGGATTGGGTCTTTGAATTTTGGGTGAGGGGTCTGAGTTTTTCAATTCTTTATATGTTCTAGGTATAAGTCCTTTGTCTGAGGGACAGTTAGCTAAAATGTTTGCCCACTCTGTGGGCTGTCTTTACTCTATTGTGATTTCTTTTGAAGAGAAAAAGCTTTATAATAGGATGAGATCCCAGTTGTTGATTATTTGAAATGTTTTCCATGCAGTTTGGGTTTTGTTCATGAAGACCGTGTCTACTCCTATGTCTTCAAGATTTTGATCTACTTTCTCTTCCAGTAGATTTAGTGTTTCTGGGTTAATATTTAGATCTTTGACCATTTTGACTTTAGTTTAGCACATGGTGATAGATATGGATCTAGTTTTAGTCTTCTGCATGTAAAGAGCCAGTTTTTCCAGCACCATTTATTACAGAGGCTATCTTTCTTCCAGTGAACATGTTTGGCCCCTTTGTCAAAGATAAGGGCTCAGTATATTTGTAGCTGTGTCCGCATCTTCTAATCTGTTCCTCTGGTCCTCAGGTCTATTTTTTTGCCAGTGCCATGCTGATTTTATCACAGTAGCTTTGTAGTATAATTTCAAGTCAGGGACTGTGATACTTCCTGACTTGTTTTTGTTGCCCAGGATTTCCTTTGCTATTCTAGGTCTCTTCTGGTTCCAGATGAATTTTAGGAGTGTTTTCTCTAGTTCTATGAGGTATTCTAATGGTATTTTGATCAGGATTGTATTAAATCTATATAACAATTTTGGAAGTATGACCATTTTCACAATGTTGGTTCTCCTTATCCATGAGCAAGGAGTATCTTTCCATTTTCTGATATCCTCTTCAATCTCCTTTTTCAGAGTACTGTAATTTTCAATATATAAAACTTTTACTTCCTTTGTTAGATTGATTCCTAAATATATCATTTTTTTGGATGCTATTTTGAAGGATGTGTCACACCCCATTTAAAGCAAATATTTTCTGGGTGTGGTGGTGCATACCTAATTCCAGCACTAGGAGGCTGAGGCAGGAAGATCTGGAGCTCAAGCCCAGCCTGGGCAAGACCCTCTCTCAAAACAAAAAGTAAAAATGGACTGTTGCTTAGTGCAAAGAGCCTAAGTTCAATCCCCAGTAACACACACACACACACACACACACACACACACACACACATACACACAGCAAATATTGCCGAGATGACCCAACGCTACCTGACAAGATGAAAAAATAGTATTTATGGTATGTCTGATAGTGATTTAAGCATGCATAAATGAGTTCTTCAAAAAAACCTGTAAGGGGGCTGGGGATTTAGCTCAGCGGCAAAAGTGCCTGCCTGGCAAGCGCAAGGTCGTGAGTTCGGTTCCCGGTACCGGAGAAAAAAAAAAAACCTGTAAGGTAGCTTTAATCTGTACTTTATAGATAGGAAATTAAGATAGAAAAATAAGTAATTTCCTTTGATAACACAGCTTATAAACGGCCACAGTAGATTTGGAACTAGGCAGTTTGACCCCAGAGTGTGCTACCTCTGCTAAGAATGAGTTGAGAGGTCTAAAGGGATATATGTTTGCACTCACTATTCTTTTTCGTTCAGTTATTATGGTACATAAAATGATAGTAACATGGCTCCTTCTCTACACCACAGTGCTAGTGTGGGGTTTCATAGGTGACATCTACTTTCTTCTCTGCTGTCCCCTAGGAAAAGTTCCCTGTCCATACCCAGGGTGTTAGTCAGCCTTTCTGTTTCTGGGACACAGTAGAGCACCTGACACCCACGATGTAAAGGAAGAGAGGTCTCCTGGTTCAGGGGATTCGGTCCACAGTCAGCTGGACCCGAAGCAGATATATGGTGGTGGAAGAGCCCGGCAGAAGAAAATTGCTCACCTATTGACAGCCAAGAAACAGAGAAAGGAAGAAGAACAGAAGTAACCCTATGGCTTTCAGGTCACACCTCAGCACACTCAGCCACAAAGTCAAGAGTGGGTTAACCTCAGGTTGAGAAACTAAGGCAAACTCCCTTTGCAGGGCAGCATTTTGGAGAACTGTAGATTTAGCCAATGATTTTTTCCTTGCATACGTGAAACAATACATAGGAGGAAAGAGAAATGAATGTTTTTCTCATTCTAAAGTATGCTTTAGCACCCCAGATATGGTGTTAAGTAATCCATTCAGTCAGAACTACTTTTGGCTTTACCACAATCTTCTGTAAAAACTACTACGTGAGGCCATTTTTCATTGAACTTGAATTACTGTATTGACACTTAGAATTTCTTAATCATATTCAGGAAAAATCAACAGCTATTTGGGTTTTAAACATGAATATTTGGTCAATTCCACAATGAATGTGGAAATGGGAAAATAAGTGTATTTTGACTTTCATATTATTCCTGCTGTCAGGTCACCAGAGATTATGTCTGGTTGGAAATGAAGTCAACATGATCGGATTTGGTGACTAAGCAGTCTATTATCTGTTAGTTTTTAGAGGTCCATGAGCAGAATCCATGCCATAGTTTATATTCCATCTTCACAGCCTTCTCTGTAGTTTGATGAGTGTCCTTCCTGTGTGAGCTCATTACATTACCCAGTGGGGTTAACCTTACTAGTGGGACATTCCCGCAGAGCTTTCGGTATAAGTTGAACACAGGGACAACTGCTTGTGATATGTGGGCAGTCAATGTTGTACGTGTCCAAAGTTAGTTTTGAACCATGGAATCATGTGACAGAACAATCATACGGCCCTGCCTTTTCACCTCTGTTAGAGTTCACTTGCTGTCATTATCCTTTATCCTGCCGATGGTCTTAATAGAAACAGGAACTCTTTAAGAGAAATAGCCTTCAAAGCTTCATTCCCACATCCTTGCTGTTTTGACTGATGACACAGCTGCTAATGAGATTAGTGCCTTCCCTTCTGCTCATTTTCTAGCAGAATTAGTTGCTGCTTTTATACCCTCTGCTGCTAATTTTGCTGGCAAATCTCTTGAGGATTCCAGCCTAATTTTCTGCTACTAGAAGCAGAACTGCTGTTGTAGTAGGTCACCTAACATTATTTAATTCCTTCAGGGAATCTTGAAGAATAAAACCTTTAGGTGCAAATTCAGACACAAACATCAAATACAGACCACAGACCAATTTTTCAGACGGGGAAATTGATTACTCTGAACAGTGTAATTCCTATTTCCCCTTGGTCTTATGTCAAAGCGTTATTGTAAGTATTTAACATATCATTAATAATAATCTGTAAATTATATCATATTATACTACATGGTGTTTTATTATATTACATATTCAGATCTAACCTAGCACTGTACCTGATGCACTGAAAATACATTTTAAGTTTTTACAGAAAACAGAAACAATTTAAGGTTCATTCATGATAATGATTTAAGTTACCCTTTACTCACTCATGGCTCAAAATGTGTAGTCTAAGGATTACACCGGTGACTTTCAGCTTATTCTTTCTTGTTTATTCCTTTTCTTCCTGTCTTACAGTGTAGAACATTATCCCAAAAAATAGGAGAAAAAGATAGAGATGAGGCATTTCAAATTCCTCTGACTGCCGCTGTCAGTGTAAAGTGAGATATCTTGACAAACATGTTTCCTTCCAAGTGTAAGGAAAACTGCAGACAGGTAGGGGCCAGGGACACCCCAAAGCAACAGTGGGGACACCCCATTTGGTGCTTATCTTCTCTGCAGCCCGAGGAGCGTCACAGGAAAAGAACACCACTGGTAATGGGCTTGGAATGCGGCACTGACAACCATTCCAGTGCAGAGGAGGAGCTTATAATTTATCTGAGAATATCAGTTTAAAATGGGAAAATCCTGGCCCGGATTGGAGATAGGAGCCTTCATGGGAACTCTATCCTAAACTCAAACAAATGTTTTGATCTTTTGGGAAAGGAAAGGCCAGTAGCAAACAGTGGATTTTGCCCCAGGGTGTTAAAGGCACACATCAGATTTTGGCCATACCCTGGGCTAGATTATGGGCTAAAAAACTTTCATGTTATGAACTGAACAGTAGGTTTTTTTCTGAAGAAAAACACAATAAACTCATAACTCCACTGTAAGCCGTGGAGCCACAGCTAATTTATACTAAGTGATGTGAGGAGTGTGGAAGTAGGACCACGAACAGGATAAAAATTCAGTAAGGTGAGGGCACAACTCACAAATCAGCACCATCAGATGCCCTAGAGTGATTTGTAATTGGCATAATAGTGTAGAACAGAAAGCAGTGTACATTAACCAGCCCAGGGATGTAATCATTTGGGAAGCATTGTAATTGCAGAAAACAGCAATGAATGTTGGCTAGTTACAAGGTTGTGTTTAAATTTATAATTATTTATAATTAATTGCAGATTATGTAGAAATGTACTGGAAGCTTAAGTGGGTACCACGACAAAGTGGCACAGTAACAGCATAGCCTGCTGTACTCAATAGAAGAGAAAGAAAGGACAGAGACAGCACAGCACAGCGCATGTGGTCTTCTTTGAGTGTTAGTGTTCTGCGCCGAGCACCTACAGCCAGTGCATTCTGATAAGCATGTTTTTCTAGTAGTCTTTGTTCCAAATTCATGGTTCCGTCACAATGTCATGACTTAGGGTGCTAGCAAATCAACTCTAGCCTAAGAAACAATAACTGATGCATACCATAAATTAATGATTTTTCTTTTTCCCTTAATAAGTTAGAGAGAATTCAAGATTATCACTAGGATAAAACTGTTACTTCACACCAAAAGGTCAAGTGATTTCTTGAGGGACAAGACAGAAAAGTTGTCTAATGAATCAGAAGTTCTAAGCAAGTGGAAGGTAAGGAGAGGGGTTGAGTTGGGGCAAAAAGTACTTCTCTAGTGTCATGACGAAGTTCAAGTATTGTTTGACTGGACCTTGGGACAGCTGGTTAAATATTGTCTCTGGATGTCTCCTGGAGGCTAGCATTTGAATGGTGAACTGAGGAAATCGGATGGCCTTCCATTGCGGGTAGGCACTGTCCTATATGCTAAGAGCTTAAACAGAAAAAGCTGAGAAAAGGTGACATTTCTGTCTGTCTGACTTAAACTGGAGCTGGGACGGGATCTTCCCTTTCCCTCAGTGTTCCTGGTCCTCAGGGCTTCAGACTCGCAGTGGGATCTACAACACTTAGCTCTCCGGCTTTCAGGCCTTCATGTTACCCACGAGCTTTCCCGGGGTTCCGGCTGATAGCAGCGCACTGTGGGACTTCTCAGCCTGCCCAGCTGTGTGAGCCAATTCTGGATATTCATAAGTCTTATTTTGTGAGATCTCTCTCTCTCCCTCTCTCTCTCTCTCTCTCTGTCTGTCAGTCTCTTTGTCTCTCTCTTCTCTCTCTTCTCTCTCTCTCTCTCTCTGTCTCTCTCTCTCTGTCTCTCTCTCTCTGTCTCTCTCTCTCTCTATATATATATATATATACATGTATATATATAATTTCTCTGGTGAAGCCTGATTAATATATTCAGTTTATCTGAACACAGAACACCTCTTTTTTCATGCAATGCTTACTAAATCTCTTAAAATTCTGCAACATGCATTTGTCTTTTTTTTTCAGTACCCGAACCCCTTTCCTATCTGGGGGACCTTACCTTATAAGAAAGAGCTCAACTCACTCTACACAAGGTGAAAACATCTGAGAGACATTTTTTCCGGTCTACCCCGTAGCCAGCACATAGGCCAGAGATGTAGGCTTGACTAATCCGATGAGCCTGCCCTAGATTCTGATCCAGGAGCTGGGAACAGTAAGCATTAGGAACTGCCAAGGATTCAATCCTGGCCAAGCTCAACCAGAGACCACAGGCTCCGTGGCCTATTGGCAGTAACCTGGCTCCCAGATCCGAGGAGCTGGGTACACCAACTGCTTGCTGTCTGCGCCCACAGCAACAGAGACATGGCTCCAGATCTCGCTGGTTTAATTTGGAGCATTTTCCCCCTAGATTATGTTGACCTTAAGTCTCGCTCTTAATCTTTTCTGGAGATGTTATGATCTACCCAATATCCTTTAATTAAGTAATTTTCTGCATGAGTCAGCCAGAGTTCTATTGCCTGTGATCACAAACCTCGACTGAAACAAATGACTGAGGGAAATACAGTTCTGTGTTATTTTTAAAAATAGCAATAGAAGAGTTCTTATGACAGAAAGATTAAATAAAAAGAAATTGCACACAACTGAATGTTACTATTAACTAGCGCTGTGGCTTAGGTTTTTATTAGGTACGGCTGTTGTCACTCCAGCTTTAGAGATGCAAAAAACAAGACTCAGAGCGGCTTTGCCTGAAGTCAGTAAACAAGAGTCAGAAAATTCAGCTGTAATTCTTTTGTCTATACCAAGGAAACAAAGCTAAATAACATTAGCCACTTAGATTAAAGGATCCAAATTTAAATAGAGTTACACCAGGTAATCAGGACTTACATTATAATAGCAAAGTCCATGGTGAAAAGAGGCTCCCAAACTGGCTTAGCAATTGCACACTAGAGACCAATTGTCCTTCTATTATGTTTACTTCACAGAGTGAAGGTACTGTCTTCTTTATCATTTTATTTTTAATTGAAGAATAATAATTATATATTATATGGTTATGGGACACAATGTGCTGACTGTAATCAGTAACAATGCACTGTGTATTTCAGAATTATTAAAAGAGCAGATTTCAAATGTTCTCATCAGAAAAAGCTGAAGGTAATTAAGAACTGTTATTCTCAGAGAGACAGAGGATTGTGTTAAGGAGGTAATAACCCCCGCACAGCCAACCACCTGACAATTAGCTACTTTGATTATCCAGAGCAATGACATGTGCCTGCGGGCACTGCGGATGTCAAAGGGACTAGTTATAAACTTGTAATTGACAGATTAGATACAAAATATTCATTTGGTACTGAAAAACTGATTTTCCTTTTAACCATTATTCCAAATGCACATTAGTCACTTTAAGGTTAGAAAAACAGCTACAAGTACCCACTGTATTATCAATGAAGAAATGTAGTTTGTGTGAAACGGGCAAAAGGAAGGAATGAGTGTCGCACTCCTGTTGGCCCTTCTGTCCCCAAACATATGGAAGAAAACCTGGCTGTTGGCCTCATGTTATGCTGAACATCAAGCCATGGGCTTCAAGACTGTGAGGTATATATTAAGGCATGCAGATAGCCTTCTCTGTCCACAGGTTGTGTGTGCATGCATTCAACCAACCTTGCATGGAAAATGAGAGAAAGAGAGAGATCTATACTGAACATGTGCACACTTTTTATTCCTTTCATTATCTCCTAGAGAAAACAGTATAACTACTTACATAGCATTTGCATGGTATTAGGTATCAATTCGGTGGCATCTAGAGTTGATTTAAAGTATACTGAAGGATAGGCATGGGATTTTATATGAGGGAACTGAGAACCTGTAGATGTTTTAACTTAAACTAATTTATTCTTTAGCTGATGCCTAAAAACAAAACTTGTACATATTAATAGGATCATATGTGATATTTGAAGCATATGTACATTTAGTAATTTTTAAACTGGGCTAAACAATCTCATTTCTTCAAACACATCATTTATTTATGATGAAAGCTTTCACAACGCTTTCTTCTAGCTTTCTGAAAGGTGCAGTTCATTGGTGTCATCTATAATTGCCCCACTGTGCAGTAGCACCCCAGAACTTCCTGCTGGCATCTAACTGTAACTTAGCACGCATTGTCCTTCCGCTTACACTCCCAGGTCCCTAGTAAAGACCATTCTGCCCTCAACTTCTATGAGATCAGCTTTTCTAGATTTCCGCATATCAGAGAGAGCAGTGGTACTGTCTTTCTGTGCCTGACTCATTCACCTACCCTAGTGATGTACATTCCCATTCACGTTGCTGCAAATGGTGGAATTTCATTCCTTTCACTGACTGAAGAGTATCCCATCTTATATATCCCATTTTTTTATCCATTCATCAGTTGATGGACCCCTCAGTTGCTTCTATTTCTTAGTTATTATGAGTAGAGTTGAAATAAAAATGGGAATGCTGTTATCTCTTGGACAGATTGATTTCATTTCTTTTGAGTATGCACTAGGGAGTAGAATTACTGGTTCATACGTAGCTGTATTTTTTAAATTCTTGAGGGCTTTCCATACTGTATTCATAATGTCTAACTCATTTACCTTCCTACCTAGAGGGTTATCTAGAGGTTTTAAGGTGTTCAAAGTTCTTTTTTCTCTGCATTCTTATCAGCACATGTAATCTTTAGCATTTATTACAATAGCCGTAAGGTGATATATCATTATGGTTTTGATTTGCATTTCCCTAAAGATTAGTGATCTTGAATATTTTTTCATATTCTTGTCATTTATATGCCTTCTCTTGAGTAATATGTACTTACAGCTAGTACATATTGTTTTATAATCAGGTTATTTGGGTTTTGTTATTGAGTTTTTGGAGTTCCTCATATATTCTGAACATTACTTGTCAGATATATAAAGTACAAATATTTTCTCCCATTTTCTAGGTTATCTTTGAGGTCTGTTGATATTTCCTTTACTATCATGAAGACTTTTAGTCTGACATAATTCCATTTGTCTATTTTTTATTTTGTTTCCTGTGCTTTGTAGGCTTTATCTAAAAACTCATTGCCCATTTCAATTTCCTCATGTTTTCTTCTAGTAGTTTTAGTCTTAAATTTAAGTTTCATTTCAATTTCCTCATGTTTTCTTCTAGTAGTCTTAGTCTTAAATTTAAGTATTTAATGCATTTATAGTTTTTTTAATGTCATAGTTACTTTACTCATCATTAAGACAAAATATGCAATGCCCACAGTTAAAGGAGGAAAGGTTTATTTGGCTGACAGTTTGTAGAGGTTTCAGTCCATAACTGGCTGGCTTCAAGGCAGGGTGGCTTGACAGAGAGCCAACACAGAGGAGAACAGCTCATGGCTGGCAGAAAGTAGCAAAGCAACAAGCAACCTTAACAGCATCTTTCTGTCCCTTTTATCTTATTCAGGCTACCCAGATTAGGGTGGTGTCAAACCGACCACTGGACTGATTTAGTAATCACACACCCTTAGTCCCAGCATCACACACTCTAGATTGAGCCACCTCTGAAAAAACTCATGACTGCATGAGGCTTTAGGGGGACATCCAGACACAAACCATAACACTGGTGAAAGTTAAGGGTCTAGTTTCACTCTTCAGCATGTGGATATCCAATTTTACCAGCATCATTAATTGAAAAGACAGTCCTTTCTCCAACTATTTTCTTGGCAGCTTTGTTGAAAATCAGTGCCTGTAGGTGTATAGATTTACTTCTAGGCTCTCTATTCTACTTCATTGGTCTACGTGTCTGTTTTTATGCCAATACCATGCTTTTGGGCTGTAGGAATTGAATGCCTTGATCACTCTGAATCTAATTTCAAAGAACAAATTCTCTAGGCTGCTGCCATTCTGGAAAATTAGACACCAGTTCTGGCAGTGTCATGATCTTAGCCTTGCAAGCCTTCAGAACTGTGAATAAATTTCCATATAAAATCACCTAGTTTATAGTATTTTCATTTAGCAGCCCACAATGCCCTATAACTTGTTGTTGACTGTGTATATGAGGATCACTGACTTTTGTATGTTAACTTGGTAACCTGCTGTGTCTTTCAGGTTATTTGAACTCCTCCAGTGTTCTAAGATTTTCCAGATATGCCACTTTACAGTCTGCGTACAGACATGGCTTCTTTTAATCTATTGGTGTACATCTGGTTAATTTTTATAGTGTTACTGCACTGGCCAGTGACTCCTAGAGTGTTAAATAGGAAAAGATAGTATTCCTACCATTAGTGAAAATGCCTCCAGTGTCTCCCGTTAAATAACATGCCAGGTTGCTGTGGATATGTATGTAGTTGTACATGCATACAAACTGTATCACATTCAGAAAATATTCCTAAATTCCTAATTTGTAGTATATTTGATGTAATGGGCTTTGAATCTTAAGGTAGGTATTTTCAATACCTATAGAGATAATCCTTTGGGGTTTTATCCTTCAGAGTCATTGATATAATACATGATAC